GAAAAAACGTTTGCTGCACTATTATCTCTGCTTTGCAGATCATAACGGTTGAGGAGGGCTGGGGGTGGAGAAGCACGTTGAAAACGGACCATGACAGATGGACGCATTAAAAAAACCTGGTATGTATTCATCCATAATCGCTAAAATGTATGTTCAAAAATAATGTACTAAATACCATTCACTGACAGCAGTTTGAAATTCTATCTTTTTCACAGAATATAAAGAAAAACGCTGGTCATTGACTGTAGTTTGACCATTTTATCTTAACACTCCTTTCTGTGCATAGAAAAACATTGTAGCTCTATAGCTACTCATTGTTTACAACAGATAGTACAATTGAACAAGTGAACCAATGTTAGATTTTTTTTTATTCTAAACATCATTTTTATAAGATCAACCAATATCAAAATACAGTTATATTCCTATCTATACAATAACAGACATGTACACATTGTAACTTCTCTCTGTTTATCTTTTTCAGTTTGCGGGTAACCACAACCACCTGATCAGCAGTTAGAGATACGTCATCACTTCCTTATCTTCAACAACAGATGCAGGGGGTTGGAGGGCACGCCCAAGTACCACGTGGAGGCCACGTGGGGGCCACGTGGGGACCACGTGGACCGGAAACCGGAAGGCGGGACTAAGGACTGAAAGGACGCTTCTGATTGGCTGAAAAATGGACAAAGGGGGCGTGGCCACCTGTCAAATTAAGTTTGATGAAAGGTGGTTTATATTATCTCTCTTCTGTCCACTGACCCTTGTTGCTGTGGTTACTCTCCTTTGTTGAATTTTAACCTGTCTGTAAGGGGATGACAAGATGTGATAAAGACATGAATTCCGATCTGGCCGTTCAGACAGCAGTTGCATAGTGAGAGATCAGATAGAACCAGATCTAGGACCAGTGCTTGAAGTGGGTCAGTACACACCGGTATGCAGTACCAGCACTTCTACATTTTACTGTTTGGTGTACCAGGACTTTTTCTTGCATACCAGCACTTTTTGCAAATTCTCTTTTCTGCCTTCTCCATGGGCTCATTTGAGGTGAACTGCATCTCACCTGGAAAGCAGATGAAAGCAGATAATGGCAGCAGGGGGTGGTGACAAATAGTTGCAGTCAGGACGGACAATTTAGGAGCTTGGGAGGGTTGGCTCCACCAAAATTCGGTTAAATTTGATGTATTTATATAGTGCGAATTCACAACAACATTTTACGCAGTGAAGTTCACATAATCAGGTCTAGATCTTACACTGTTATAAGGATAACTCAACAAATCCCCCTTGAGCAGCACTTGAAACTGGTGGTGTCTCAGTGGACAGGCTGCCCTCATCTCCTGCTAAGAATCTGCAGCTGAGGGTTGTTAGGCCAAATTTGGTTCACTTTCTCTGACTCAAACTTCTGTCAGTTAGCTTACCCCTACAGCAGTAGTTTGAGTTGGTTGATTTAATCATGGTTGACTGTTTTGGTGACACTTCACACAAAAATGCCCAATTTTACTACTTAAGGAGCGAGTGATGAATGAATAAGGAACAATCATAAGTACTTCCTTATTAACCTCTAATGTGGGATTCCGTATTAAATAATGAGGAGTAACTAGAAAACTGAGTGGGAGATCAGTAAATCATTAGTAGTTAACAGTTAGTTAGTTCATAATGATTTATGGCTAAGTTGAAAATACTCCCCACTTCCTTCATGAGTTAATCTTGATTAGGCTACTTGTGATTCAAACATTGTATGACACAAAAGTAACTTTTGTTTTGTTTGGGGGCATTTGATATTTTCCTGAAATCGTAAAGTGTTAGCCAGTGCATGTTGTGTTTTGGAGGAGTAGCTTTGGAGAGAAGTCAGAATGAAAGGGTGAGATTTCTTCAGTCATCTACTTGAAAATCAAACTTCCTCTTCGTGGTTTTTCCAGGATTGCGAGCCCTACTTTTAATCACAAGGCTCTGTTGTATTTTAAAGACTGTACAATCCTAACACAGCACTTTACTCTTGGGGTGCAGGTCTGCTTGCGGTTCCTAGAGTTCAGTTAAATTCAACTGAATTCATTTCAAATCATTTTTATTTATATAGCACCAGCTCACAACAAAAATCATCTTAAGGCACTTTACATAAACAAAAACCCAACAAATGCCCCTTGAACCCCTTGGTGTTAGTGGAAAGGAAAAACTCCCTTTAATGGAAGAAACCCCTGACCAGACCCTGGCTTTTAATGAGCAGCCTTCTGCCTCAAAGGGTCAGGGTGAGTTGATAGAGGAGATAGAAAAGAAAAGAACAGAAAAGCAACAAGACAGAACAAACAAACACTGGGCAGGTTAAATTGAATCTCTGATTGCTTATCAGAAACGCAGAGCTCCAGAGCCAGAGATAGCTTTAGAAAAGTATAGGGAGAGAGATGACACACTACAGGAGAAAGAAGACAAAAGATGGTGTAATGGTGTAAACATGTAATGGTGGCATATAAAAATAAAATGGAGAGGGAGTGGAAGAAAGAAGAGCAGGTCAGAGCATCATGAAAGGACTGCAGCCTAGGCCTATAACTAAAGTTTGGTACACCAAACCAAACCTATTCTAAAATGCACATCCAATAATATCAGATACCAAAACGTGGGCACAAACAAAGGCCTGTGGACTAAAATCACTGGTACAGTTAAATATACACAGTTGCAACAAGACAGAGCATGTAGTCTGAACATAGTCTGTGACATCACTAGTTTTTTTTTTCAGACATAACAAAGGTCCTTCAGAGTCACATGAGGCACTATACAATTGTTTTTACAGGCTGAGTAGATTTCACATGTAAAATAAGCTGTGTGCTCCTTCAAAGTGAATAAATCTGCACCATTTACAGCAAAAGTACATGCAGACAAGTAAACTAGTTTTGAGGTCATGTATTTATGCTCAGGATTTTCCTGCTGTTCATTCTGTCCAGCAGTGGAATATTTGTGAGCAAAGGGATTGACAGAGCAACCAGGTGGAGCACTTTGCTATCAATACTGTATAGCTGGGATTAATTGCTATTGGTAAAAGACATTAGAGTTTTCTGTCATCTGCCTGTTTATCATGAAGGCTCATCAGTTCTGAAAAATCCAGATATTCCTCTTTTTTTAATTAAAGAGGAAAATTTGAATCCTGGGGAAAACTGGCTTCTGGAAATTGAAAAGGATGGCTCTTATAGTACTTTTTCTTTATGTTATATTTTCAGTGCCTGTGTTTTAAAAAGAATTCAGCCTGTCTAATTTAATAACCACCACATATTTGTAGACCAAATTTGACACACATTGTCTGTTTTATTGATTTATTTGCCCTGAGGAGTTTCTTTCGGTCTTTTTGTCTAAAGTTATTAATCTAATCTAATCAAATCAAATTTTATTTGTATAGCGCCAAATCACAACAAAAGTCATCTCAGGACACTTTACAAAGTAAGGTCTAGACCTTACTGTTATCACTATTATTACATAGGGAAAACTCAACAAATCCCCCTTGAGCAAGCACTTGGCGACAGTGGGGAGGAAAAACTCCCTTTTAAGAAACCTCCGACAGACCCCGGCTCTTGGTGGGCGGCCTTCTGCCTCGACCGGTTGGGGTGAGTGGATAGAGGAGAGACAAAAGAAGAAAAGCAACAAGACACAACAAACAATCAAACACTGGTCAGGTTGATGTGGCTGGTGACTGCTTGTCAGAGACATAGAGCTCCAGGGCCAGGGCAACCTGCAAAAAGGTACAGGGAGAGAGAGAGGACACACTACGGGAGAGAGGAGACACAAAGTTAGTAATGAGTGTATTAGCTGACATTTTGAAATTAAACATATTTTCACAACCATTGCTAGTGTGCAGGAACATCCATGATGTTCACCTCTAACTTAGAGTGTTTATGAGCAGGAAATGATCCCTGCATCATGCAGATTTTGCAGCACACATTTTTGAATTTGTAATTTGTTTCAGTGGCAGTTCAGACCAACCTGCTTCCCCCGAAGAAGGTGAAGCCAAGCATGCTTCAATCCAGTCTGGTGCATGCCAGTGTGGCCACCATGCAGAACCCAATGGGCTGTGCTCTGCCGCGGCTCTCTGTTGCCCCCCGCCCCACCAGCATGGTGGCTAGCATGGAGGTGGTGGCAGATGGCTTAGCCCCCTTTGCCATGATGAAGCTGAAGACGGTGCTGGCGGTGTTCGTGGTGGTGGTGGCCTATCTGGTGGCAGGGGGCTTGGTATTCCGGGCGCTGGAGCAACCTTTTGAAAACAACCAAAAGATCACCATCACAGCAGAAAAGGCAGCCTTTCTGCAGAAACATCCGTGTGTGCCCTCAGATGAGCTGGAGGCTATCATCAAGGTAAGAGCAGCCTCTACTCAGTACTCCAACCTGTCCTCAGCCCTAGATGTACTCTCCAGTGGGGACTCAGGTCTGCTGAAATTCAAGTTCTTATTGATCTGATGTTATTCAAGCTCCACATACACCTCACACTCTGTCAAGCTAGCATCTGAATACAAATAACACTGAACTGTCTAGTAAATACAGAGGTTTATCTTAATGGCTTCCATACATCCTTGAAACACTTTGAATATGTATGAGTGTGAAAATAACAGTCCCTAATTATTATATGAATGGAATGCCTTAACTTCAGCTCTGCTGATTCTAAGATCAGTTGATGAGTGGAATTTTTTTGGGATGTCTTTTGGTTGAAGTTGTGATATCACTGTCGAACGTGTTCTCGTGTTTTGAAAAGAAAAGACTAAATATAAAGATATTTCACAGTGTGAAATTTATTATGCATTAACTTATCAAAATAAGCATGTGCACATGGATCTTGACTGCTTAGGAAAAACAGAAAAGACTGACTCCAACTTGGCGGTATACAATATATGTATGAAAAGATGTTACTATCTGATTGGTCCAAAACTGTTGGGGAGTCCTTTATTTCCAAGAGACTGCCACATTTTAGACACTACCCCCCTATTCCAATAAAACTGCTCTGCCTGTGTGTGTGTGTATATTGCCCTGCCTTTGAAGTTGCTTCCTCTTCCTGGGCTCAAATCTAATCTCTATTTCAACTATTGAAGGAATTCCAATAAACTATAGCTCCCCCGGCCCATTAGCCAGGTGGTGGTAATAAAGTAACTGTGGACCCTCTTTGCTAAAGCTGTAAATCTAATGAGTTTCAGTGTTTTAGTGAACCAGTCTCCAGTTGATGTTAACCAGTGCTCCAGTTGGCTAACACAGTAAATACTGACCAGTGATTCAGTGAACACATAGGGTGATTATATAGATATGTAACTACATAAACATAAACACAACTGTGAGATTAAAATATATATAAACTTATGTAAGCTATATAATAAAAACCCTAACTAATTATTCATTTCTATCTAAAAATGAAAATCACCCTAACATCATTCTGGGAAATTGTGCTGAACATTTTCACTATTCCTCTCTGAGAACTTAATCATAAAAAAAGCTACATTCAGCTGTGCAGAAATTAAAACATGGCCTTGTTATAATGTGGTATTTAGACATCACAAATTTGTACCTCACAAACAAGCTGTTACTGTACAGAGATTAGTTGTTAATTTTGCTAAACATGAGCATACTGCATGTAAAAGGAATATGTATAAACTGATGCACAAAAAGGCCCTATTTCCCCTTGGCTTTTGTTGTTGTTGTTGTTGTTGTTGTGTAGTGTCTGGAGACAAACGTGACAAAACTGAATACACCCCCTGATCAGCAACACTAAAATGTTAAGTAATTTTGAATCTTGTCAATTTATTACAATGTATCTGTTTTTATCCAAAATTCAAGAGAAATGTTTGACTAATTAAATGATAAAGATCCATCCAGCAAAAAAGTCAGAACACCTTTCATCAGTGTGATTCCATTCTTTTCCATTTATTTTTTTAAATATTTCTTTCTGTATGTCTGTCTTGTGATAACCAGTTCCATCTTCCTGGGCATGGATGATTCCAGTCTTGCACAAATCTGTGGGGAGATGTTCCTTACAATTTTCTGCCTTTTCAGTTGCTATTTGTTAGTGGGTTTTACCTTCCACTTTAAAATAATCAAAAGGCTTTTCATTGGATTTCAAATCAGAGAACATACATGACCAGGTCCGAGTCTTCACTTTTTTAAGAACGTATTATTTGTGCAGTGTGTCTGGGATGATAATCATGTTGGGAACTTCTTATGCAAAGCTTTTTTGAGCTTCTTTTCATTCAGTACTTAGAAATACAAACTTGCATTCGTAGTCCCATTTATAAATGCCATCTCCTTTACACATTTTTCACTCATGCAGTTCCATATCAACAGACACTACCTGTTTTATGGTCAGCACTGTATGCAGTCACTGTGGTAGTCCTGGTGAGGTCCTTATATTGGTGTAATCTGAACAATGTTGCCAACATTCATTAAGCTTCTTTCCATGTTCTTTGGCAAAGTTTATTCTTGCAGCTTTGAGCTGTTTGTGAACAATTGTTTTCTTCTTGGACATCATCCTTAGAAGTTGATTTCATGCAGTCTCTTTTGAACTGCTTGATTACTTTCCTAAACACTAATTCCCTCAAATAATCTTTGCACCAAGCCAGAAGCAGTAGGCAGTTTGTTTTTCATTGTCTGCTTCGTTTACTGAAAAGGGGAAAACCATCATACAAGTTCACCTGCATCAGGCTCGGGTTGGGTTCAGACAGAATCATGCGGGCTGATCCATGCTCTAGTGGTGACTGTGTTCCACTGCCAGCTTAGCGAAGATCACAGGAAATGCTTCTTTGTTGCGTGTGTTAGAATGAAGCTGCAGAACTAAACATAATATAACAGTTATGTCCAAAATAATGTGCTACTTATCTATTCAACTTACATTCTGTGTCTATGGCTAGTTTAAAAGAACTGAAACTACATCTCTAATTAGAACAGAGTGAAGAAATTAGCATCAAAGCTGAGCATCAAATGAAACACTCCCTAATGATGTCAGTAGTGGGAACTGTGAACTGTGATTGTATACTGAAGTGACTAAACAGTGATATGATCACAAACTTGGCACTTACTGTAGTACAAATTGCAGCCTTGGAACACTAGGAACTGCAGCCTTTTTAGAAAGGGTTACATTCACTAAAGTTAATCTACAAGTGATACATTCACTTACTGTGGTATGAACTGTAATCTAGTGCTTAGAGTGCTGATGAGTTCCATTACTGAAGTACAGAATTGCATACATTCTTATCCCTATGTTCAACAGGGACTGTCCATGGCGCGGAATGGCAGCTGGAGCTGATCTCCCTGTGCTGCTATTTTGACCATTTTGCTATTTTAGAAGTGTCCCCGAACTGGCGTAGTGCACCTGTTTTTGACAGATGCCGCATCAAGCAGCACAGAGCAGATCATAGAAACAGGAAGTCAGGCACATGAAAGACAGAGAATAAGGTTAATTTACAAAATGAAACACTAGGTTATGTGTATTGATTGGATGCACCCAATGCTGGCTTCTTCTTCACCTAGCAGCCCTCCTCTGCTGTGTTTTTCTTCTGCTAGGTGCAGTATGTAAAATATACGAATGAAATAATTATGAGGATTAATGCATTTTTAACAACAAAAAAATAAACACAAATATGTGATCCATATTGTTTGTGCATTGTATTTAGTTGGTCTAGACTACAGCACAAGAAGGCCAGAAAAATAAGATTAACAACATAAATAAATGCAATTAACACAGAAAAATAAACCATTTAAGTACATATCAAGATCAAAGATTTTTATTGTCAATTCACTATATGTGCAGGACATACTGAAAAATCGAAATATTGTTTCTCTCTCACCTAATGTTGAATGTCCATACCATTTAAGAAATTAAAATAGAATAAAAGTAAAATAAGCACAGAATAAACAGAATATGAAAACTGAATTCAAGTAATAAGGATAAACTAGATGGTACAACCTAATAGGCTATGATGAAACTCAAAGCCATGTGCAAACAATATTCTATGGAAAATACCGAAATCTGGAAGTCGAAAAAGTCCTACAGACAAAACGCTCCATTTCACGTTTCATTTCCACTCACTCTCAGTGGGGTATGCTGCTTTTGGGAAGATGAACTAAATGTGTCGCAATCACAACGTCTCAAAGCTGCGCCCGGTGGAAAACGGGCTACTGCTGAATGAACCACATTCCTTTTACACAGGGAGAATCACTGCAGTGCCAATCATCATTTATTGTACAATATATTGTGATAAGAGGTTTTGGAGGGTGAGACACAGGATCACCTTGATTTGGGCCTATGCAGAGGTTCAGAGTCAGTCAGGTCAGTCTTCTCAGGTCCTCACATACACCCACACTCTCTCTCTGATCAGCTCTGCAGCTAACTATATGGCTATTTCCCAGCTTCCTGCAATTGTCCAGGTCTTGACGTCCAACGGGCCCCCACCCTAGTTACACTTCTCTATTTTGGGAACCCCCTACAGCCTGTACTGAAAAACAGTGTCAGGTTTGCCCGGCTGCACCTACTTTCTCACTCCCCTCACTCTGTTTTCTCTCCCTTACCCTGATTACGCTATCCTTTACACCTGCTTACTTCCAGCTGCACCTCATTAGTTTCTCCCTATTTAGTCCCTGCTCTTTGTTCACTCCCCTGCCAGTTCTTTCTAGCTTTTCTCAGGCCCGTTTGTTCCCCGTCGTTCTTTGCTCTGTATTAGTGTATTTGTTTTTGTCTCCTTCTCTCCAGCTGCTTAGATTACTTTCCCTCCTTGCCTCAGTCGCTCCTTCGGACCACGGACCTCCTCCACTCTGCTTCCTCACCACCCTGCAGGTCGATGCACAGTCTACCACTCACCGTATGTACTGTTTCTGTTTATCTTCCTTAGCATCCAACTCGACCAGTCCAGGAGTGAGTCCCAGTGTCCGCAGCCCGGTCCTCTTTGCATCATCTCCATCATTGACTGTGTACACTTCCTAGCTCGACACCCGGTCCCTGTATTACTCTACTGTTTCTATTCTTGTCACTTATTCATCACTGTAAATAAATAGCACTGTCTGCACCGAAGTCAGCCACCTGGGTCCGTCTATTTTTTGCGACTCGCTCACTGCTGTGTTCGAGCCAGCTTAACAAACAGGAAGCCTGACGCCCAATGTTCTTGCAGAGGCCCTTACAAAAGAGCAGAGAGGTCATCTCTGACCATGCTACATGTTATACTTAGCTAACATTGGCCTATCAACTATGCTAATAACTATTAACTATAATCAGTTTGCTTTTACCACTACAGAATCCCCTCCTTCCGTAGTTATAAGACACACTAAAGCAAACACATACAGAAAAACAACAAGAAAACAACAAGGAAGTTTATAAACACACATAA